CACTAGCGCAACTCGACGTATAGCTTTCTCGAAGTAAAGCTACGGCGTCTCCGAAGAAAATAGTACGAGAACAAATATGATATCCGTGATAAGGATCTGCCTACTGTAGTTGCAAACAGTTCTAATCACAACCGGGCCCGGCGTCTCAATATAGAATGCAAGCAAGCAACATGTTCACGGTAAATTTCATATTTTGTCCCTCAAAAGCAAATTCGTGGAGACTTAAAAGCATATCTTGCACTAGAAATGAGCCTAAACAATGCATAAACACATGGTAAGTTACAGAGGTATCAAACTCTTCGAAGCGACACGCAGACAACAGCGGAAACCATGCAGACCTTTGACTTATAAAAATTATAAACATAAATACGAGTGAAGCTACAAAAAAAGGTCGAGTGACCGAACAGAGAACGGCAAATGTACAAATGCCACGAACTGTAGAAGTCGTGTAGGCTAGTCAACCCCATTTAACACAGTCTTTGGCACGAACAAACATTTGCTATATGAGGCTTTTGCTGTATCCTTTTCCATCTAGAAGAGATTTTACTGCAACTTCTTGCTCCGGTTTTAACTTGAATTCACTACGAGCGACGACGTTCAAATTATCCAAAGCTCTCGCTAGCACATCCACTTCTGCCGCCATTTTGGTTGTTTTCGTATTACTTCACAAACCCGTCCTATTGTCCGATTAACCAATCAGAATTTTGCAGCCGCCAACGACCGCAGATATGAACCAACAGGGGTCTCTATAGCAGGCGTTCCTTTTTCCGGTCCCCCACTCCTCCGTTTTTTTCCCCCCAAGAAAGGAGAAGACTGAAAACTAAAATGCAAATTGAGAGTTCGCAATCGAGAAACATAGAATCAATGTATAACGCAAAGCTATTAGCTGTGAAAAAACTTCACTAGATGCACTGCCTTCAAAAATATTTCAGGTCAGGCAATACCATTGAGTTCTTTCTTTTTTTGGTTCATTTATACCAAGATACATGAGGAACCTTATTTTATAATGTATTCGTGATAATAATGGAGATCGGTAAAATCAAGTGTGTCTCTAAATTCTTGTTTTCAGATTGAGAACTCGCTATCTGTATCCGGAGGTTACATGGGATACAAGGCCTCTTTGAAAGTTGACATGAAAAAGTTCCGCGAATCCATGTCGGAGAACACCAAATTTGGGGGGCACAAGGTGGTATTCACATCTGGAGGACCCGACATGCCTGAGCCCATTGGACTGAAACTGGTGCCAATTTACGAGGCCTTTGATGTCAACTTCTACACTGTAACGGACGGACAGCATTCTGCACGATGTGTTCATTTTGAGTCACTGGTCGGGACTAGAAAGGCGCATGTCAAGAAAGCCCTACATGAGTATCCCCGCCTGAAGAAAGCTTTAGTACCAGTAGATAAGATAACAGTATCAAGAGCAAAATCATTATGCGAAAGGCAGCTATTCTAGTATCGAATGGAGCATTAAGTTGACTCTCTAATTGGTGTGGAGCTATTTACTTTTAAAAGTTTAGATCAACTAGCGCCGGGTTCATCAATACATATGGCCAATTTGTCTTTTTAAAAGCATTGCACAAAATAATTCTCTAAGTTAGGTAGAAAGTTGTTTCACGTTCTAGTCAATTTTTTTTGTGACAATTCTACGCTTGATATTTATCCCGCATGAGCTCACAGAGAAATGGTGCATTTATGCATCTGGAGAGCATCTGGTGCATCTGGAGAGTTGAAAACCAAAATGAACAAGATCATGCACACGAACAAGTACCCAAGTTTGAAGTAGCTTGTTAAGTCGGCAATAAAGAGTATTGCCCAATATCGACCAATATTCCACTTGCACGAACCTTGCAATACCTGAAAACAACTATCGTTTTGTGATTTACAGATCCCGAAGTTCGCATTCCTCTAACTTGGCCAATAGGTACGTACGGCCTTCCCATGCCAAATTCAAGTTGTCCTAAGGGATCAAAATTTTCTTGGCACGTGGGAACTCGTTACCAAGACACCAAGGATGCTTGGGGAAAGAATCATTGGTCAAATCCATTTGACTTGGCGGGAAATTTTCAGAAGAGCAACATGGAGCATAAATTTTGTATGAAAACAGAAATTGGAGACACCACATATGGCATGTCATGGCCGAAGAGGCAATACTGCATTCTGAACAAAGGCACTTGTCCCAAAGATTAGTGTATTTTCATTTTCTTTTCTTCTTTCACCTACGGTAGTTACGAGATATAGTGACATAGACACCGATACGACCCTACGCTCTAGCCACTTGGCTCTGGAGGTGGAGAACATTTTCATTCACACTTCGCTCAAGTTGCAGAATTAAAACGATAAATCAGTAAATATTGATTACTATAGCTATCGATTCAAAACTTCTATTTTATCTATTCTCCTCCGTTCTGGGTTTGCCTCAATCGATCCAAAGCCCCAGGCCAGTCACTTAAGATTAGGATACTATATATCTGCCAATTTACTTTTCGGCCAGAGACTAAAATTAAATTATGGGAGGCATCGAAATTTCTACAAGCCTCTTCTTTTCATTATTTTGCATCACACAGGTTTCCAAGCAGGATATATCAGGTGGGATGACGAGAATATTAGGAACAGTAACAAGTACACAGGGCAGCTTCCAGATGGCGTATACGACGGGAATACTCACATCGAGTACTGCTGCCGTTCAGATGGGCATGCCACCAATGCCATTATCCCACCTACTGACTCGCCCTTCGTGATGTTGAAGTTCAACACCCATCTGTGCCAGTTGGTCAAAGGAATGAAAGTGAGAAGTGAGTACTTCCACTGGGATTGCGAAGACTGGTTTCCTAAAAACAGAGCTGGTGGTTCCAGGCCTTACGCCTATGTGGGCAACAACGTCAAGGTTGAATAATGTTATTATTATCACTAGTGTACATGTGATAGAACTCAAGTGATTAAACATGCCAAATAAAAAGTTGACGTCACAATGATCGATGAAAATTGCTAAACATTGTAATTTAATTGAAACATATTGTAGCAAACTGTATTGATTCCTCAATTATAAATAAAAGTTCTAAAATTATTGAGCATTATTACGTCTGCACATCAAGTCATTGATTTTCACACCCGTTAACCAATGTCATTAATTTGGCGGATTGCACTACAACAGCATTAAAAAAACAAAAACAAAACAAAAAAAACTGCCCCGTGCCCTTCTAAGACTCGCGTCTTACTGAGAAAACCAGGCGAGCGGTCATCAAACGAGAAACAATTATTAATGATCGTTCAAATGGAGGTCTTAAAATGATAGATATACAGCCATTTAGTAAGTCCGTAAGAGCTACTTAGAATAAAAAATATATATATATATATTTAGATTGAGAGAAACGGAGAAATGGAAGAATTCTTTTGATATTGAGTTAGAGAGACATGGAGGCTCAATAGTCCTAACTAGGAACCGAAGCAAAAAAGACACCATAAAGAACCTCAAGATTAAGACTCTGTTAATCTGGGGGAGAGTTAATTTTGATGAACACATAATGTCCCATAAACAATCTCTTGAACAACTTTTAAGGCACAATTCACTCGTAAGAATCTGACAACTGACATTTGTAGTCAGATTTATTGACAACACACCAGAGGTTTTAGACCCAAACCATCGCATCTATCTTTCATAACAGTGCAAAATATCGAAAAAAGAAATTCAGTAAGAAGTAAGGAGTTTTCGGTCTACTTTTCCAATAAATTTTCGTACCATTTGTCATCATTTCGAAATTTTCAGAATATTTGGTTGAATAGAAAGAGCGCTAGGATAGGTTTTAGGTCTTCAATTAATTATCAACAGCCACTTAACTCACAACTAGCAAAAATTTGACCGACAAATAGACAAAATTTTGAATGATAACTGACATTTAAATACCTTCCCCCACCCCGTACGTGGGGTAAGATTAACAAAATGCCGTAGCTCAAGTGCACATGCTCACACTAAACTACTTTCCACAATATGCACGCGCCCCCAACCCGTAATCAGAAGAAATGGTACAAGATTGTAACCAGAATGATGCCTGCCAGCTTGCCTCTAAATATATAAACGAAAGGTACGATAACTCTTGAATTCAAATTCAAATTCTTGCTTACACGAATAGCAACAAAAAGACTTCCAAACAAAAACTGGAATAAAAGACAACCCAAACTGTTACTTTTGTAATGGAGAACGGGAGAAACTACTCCATATTTTTTGGTGCTAAGGTGGTCCAATTTCTAGCATGGTGTAACTGTGGAGCTCTCTTTGCTCTGGACATGCAATAGACATACCTGTCGCACCTGTTGCTCTATGCAGTAAGTGCTTTTTTCACGCCTAATTGGCATTTCCTTGATACCCAATAACATTCCATAAGTATTTCTTGCATTCAAGGTCTTTTTAGTCTCACAGTGTTAATACAATATATTGATACAGCAGATGTAACGCAAGAAAATTAAAGTGTACCGTATTTGGACTATTTGGATGCCTCCATATGCAGCGTCAATAAATCCTGTGTTTGAAATCTGTAGTTTAGCTACAATATCAGACAAAAAAGTTGGGACACGAAGCAAGTTCCCTCCTCCCCCCCACTTACGTACAATGTTGATTATCGGGAGATTTTTTCCCTTTTTGTTGAAAAAAACGCGACGTTTTCCAACATTGATTAGTGGGGATGGGTAATACGTGATCCAGCTCAACTATCCCAACTACTTTTGTCCGGGATTGTAGCTTTTCCTTGAATGTATTTATCAGGTCATCTGTAGGCTTTTATACATTATGCTTATACTTTCCCACTAAAATGCTCCACGTTAATGCTTCATTTTCCCCACTAAAATGCTCGGTCTCCCTGCAAAGTCACTAAAATGCTCGGTTAATGATCATACATAGGTTTTTTTTTTTATTTTAAAAATTATAACGTTTTAACACAATTAACGGCTCAGGGTGCTTAAAAAACGTATAACTCATCGTGCATAATACTTTTAATGATAATCTTTTAATTTGACTGCCGCTAACCTCTCCTCAGTTTCTACTCGGCTCTATTAGGGTGGCATTTGAAATTTTTGCAATCTCAAGTTAAGTCTTCATTTTCTCGTAACATATAATTTTTATTTTTATTTTCTGTAAGCGGAAAAAATAATTTTTCGGGAAATGCCATTAAAATGCTTAAATAGTGCTTAATGCTTTTGCCTCACTAGAATACTCGAAAAATGCTAGCATAATGTACAAAAGCCTAATCATCTGGGGTTTTATTCTCACCCAGCGGTTTACTATATTCTCAGATCTGGACACCATTGAGAACTTCCAATAAAAGTGACAACATTTCCATGTAGCTGTTGGCATAGAGGCGGAGATATACAGTAAAATTGTATTGCAAGAGAACCGAGCTTTTCAAAATTAAGTACACCTGGCACGTTAAACGGCAAAACTAATTCAGCTGGACCGAGCTTCAGCCGCTTGCCGAGCATGCCTACGCCATTCCTAAACATTGCTGGGGTTAGCAATATGCTTTCCACTCAAATATAGCGAAGCTCTGGTGGCCCGAACCCAAGCGGAGAACATTGCCCATATAGGAAAGAAAGGGAAACCCATGAACGACCCATCAACTGATTTTCTGCTGGTTATCATGGCTAACGGTATTACTCGTGGGCGCGTACGCACGACGCCGACGACGACGACGACGACGACGGAATCGCGCAACATGGCGGCCATACTCCAAATAATAGGTTGACAGAGACATACAGCCTTGGTTTACCGTGTACTTCTTTGACATTGGACATCCTGTTATGATCAATTGACACCTGCCAAAACAAGGTATCTGCTGACCAATATCACGTGACCACATCGCGGGCTCAAGTTAACAGCTCATCGAGGTCACGTGTTTTTTGCAGTTGACCGCTGACCAAGTGCTCTTTTTCAATTGGGTTGCGGGCTCATGTCAGGTTAAGGTGGTATGGTACCCTCAAATGGACCAAAAAGTTTGTTTAAATATGGTGAAAAAAGATCATTTGTGTGCTATTGCACTCAAGAAGAGAAATTAAATTTCTGGAGTTTTACTCAAAATGGTTGCTATGGAAACCAGCCTCAGCCTTTTGAGGTAGTGTTTTATAGTATTGACGCCAACACTTCCTGCTCTTTTACAAAAGAAGATTTGACTGTCAAATAAGTATATCGTGCAAGTTTCTGTTTTGTTCTGTGCAATGAACCTAAGTTTTGACAGTTAA